GAAAGGTTAATTTAGCCAGGTACCATAATATCATCAAGAACAGAGCATATAGCTCTGGTGAGACAGAGGATAATGTGCTTGTCAGGTATACACAGTTGGAACGGTAAACATTGAGATTTGTTCATTTATCTGGGTGTCATCGCCCGCAGGAGCAGGTAATTCAGGTACGTGTAAAACATACTGATAATTACTCGAATTGCTAATTTGTTGATGCAGTTATATCTCTTGGAGTTAATTAAGGGTCCTAGCTGTATCGTTATTGTTCGAGTGAGCTTTGGAGTTTATGAATCCAAAACCATCAGTTCGGGCAGATGTTTTATTGTAAAAAAAACCAGATAGTAAGGTCAAAGTAGAACAAGTGATAGCCATGGGTTTATGGGTATTGGGTTAGAAAAATAATCATCTTCTACATGCAGATTTTAATTATCATTCATACAATAAAAAATGTAAAAAAAAAAACGGATAGGATTTTAGCTGATGAGTTAATTAGGGCATGATCTGTTTAAACTTTAACCTTTGACCTTCAACGAAGGTGCTATATTTGCTACATATTGTGTGTCAAAATGTACAGCTGTAGATTTTAGGCAGGTAGATCAAGATTTATTGGTAAAGGTAATTATGATATACCTTCAATTAACATTTGGAATTTAAAAGTAGGACAATAGAAGAAATATGATTAAAATGAAATTCATAATCAGATTGAGGGATATTTCAGTCAGCACTTTATATCTCATTAAAGGTGATCATCATTACAAAAAAAAGATATAAAATTTATTTTGATTAAAGTTCATCGATCTAAAATTAATTGTAATTAAAGCTTACCTATCTAAAATTAGTTTTGATTAAAAGTCAACATTTACAAAAAAAAATTTGAGAAAAAGTTGTATTGGAAGACTTATTTTTGTAAATAGAAAGCAAAATCAAATGAATCTTGAACTAAATATTGTTTTTGATGGAAGAAATCTTATCAACAGGTATATAGATTGTATGGAGTATAAATCCTACATTGGTCTTTATGAAGGTAGATGTGGTGGTGCAGTAGTGAGGGTCGTGTCTATAGGGCTAACTGCTTGTATCTGTTAATTCTAGGTGTGGGTTTGATCAGGTAACCATATGTTAAGACACCAGTGTGTCATTGTCTCCCGTATATTAACCAAAATCACTTACCTACACTCAGCACCTAGAACAAAGGTGACATTGTTGAGTGAAACTGGTAGGGTTGATGCAGTATAAGGTATATTGGCACAGTGGTAATGAACATACCTTTCACCTAACCAGAAGGGGGTTTGACTCCCCAAACAAACTTGCTAAGAAAGGGGTTCAACTGTGCAACCATGTGGATCTTTCCCATGCAGTTACCTCCCACAGCAAGACCCCTCATGCACTTATGTCAGAGTGATTAGTATAAGTTTAAATTATGTGTTTCGCAAGTTTATATATAACACATATGAGTTAAATTCAAGGTTTAACGACATACATTCTTTTCTCAAATTTTTTTTCAGAAATGAAATCAGACCTATAGCAATAATTGCAGAAAGGTCACTTGCTTGAAGGGTGCTTTTTAAATTTGTATTGAACATCAAAATTTAATTTTCAGGTACTTATAGAAGCCTATAATGATGTGGAATAGAACAGTAGCAAAAGTAGATCACTGTGACCATAATTCATGGAGGATTTTTATACTCAGGCTTTGCCTTGTGACTCTGTTTGACTATAAAATTGTATTTAATCTTAATTCCTTTTTTAAGTAAATCTATGTACCTAATTTTTTTTTCATTTTTTTTTTTTGTTTTTGTTTTTTTTGTTCATAAATTTCATTGTTTAAAGCATCTCTAATCTGAAACCTTTAAGATTAACAAATGCTATATATATTTAGATCAAATATCAAAACTTTGGCCCAATTCTATTCAGTCATTAGTTATCAGAACAAAATGAAATATTTTTAGGGCCACAAAATATCTTTTGGACAAAACAAGTTTTATTGAGTGACCTACTTTGATACTTTTTAGAAAAATAGTGTTGACTTGGCATGCAAGGTGTCAAGACGGAACTGACTCAAATAATGGTGACAATTGTTTTGTATTTATAGATAATGTATTATGTCATATCCCTGTTCATTGTTTATGTGAAATGTACAAAATTCTGTTGTGTTTTTCTTTATCAATATTTATGACAAGAAATTGTAAACTTAAAGGGTTTGGTTATAATATATCTAAATCACACAAAAGTGTTCACATTTTTTGCTATACTTCAGCTTTCATACATATGTTTGATTTTACTGCGATATCATGTTAAAAGAGATTTTCCTTTCCTTATTTCAATATTTGTTAAAACAAAAACAAATGTTCAAGTTTCAACTTCAAATAAAATTTATCAAATATCAACCAAAGTATTGAAACTGTAGATTTTGAAAGAGTTTCAAGTTGACAATTCACAGTCAATAAAACTTAAATTTTAGTGTGAATTTTGAGTGGAGTATTTATGAACTTTTGTCATGAAATTGTTTTTAGTAGACTGATAAAAATGTGTAATTAATAGGTGGTTTTCCCGACCACAAGAAATGACAAATAGATTGAAGCTATTATGAACTTGATACTGTTAAACAATACTTATAACAGGGTAGTAATTAAACAAGTGTTGACTCATTAACCACACGCGGAAAAACATCTAAGTACGGGGTCAGTAAAAACCTTTAAATACTTTTTTCACAGAAGAACAACGCTACCGTTATTCTGACTCTGTCTAGTGTTTTTGGCATTGAACACAGTGTTATATCTCACCTCGCCAAACGCTTGATCGACCTGATCAGATTTGGAGACCATTTCAATAGAATTAGGTTTACATTGCACTTAACAGAGTATCGAGTCGATTTGTGCTCAAACGATCGTGGAGTTGTAAAAATCGGGGTCACAATTTTTTGACCCGTGTGACTAAGGCATCTAAAACAAATTACAATACGATTCCTGTCCATATCCAACCCTTCCAACAGAGACTAACTGACAATTTGTAGGCTTAAAAAACTGTGACGATAGCTAATTTATAAATCTCTTGGTCAGGAAAATTTGTTGTCTATTTTCTGTCGGTGATCGGAATAGAAATTGGGAAATTGACTGTAATAAATGGCTAAATAATTTCTTTAATTCTCCTTTGTTAGTTGGACCCAGAACATTAACTGTCATCCAAAACCTTTAAATTGAAAATACAGACTTAATACCCGCTTCAGAAAGAAATTATATGAAAGTCACAGCTTTGCTTGTATGTATAAGCCAGTATGAGACGTGATTACTTTACCTAACACTTTCAATAAGGAAGAACTATTCTGTAAAAATGTTGATTTTGGACTTGAATTCAAACTTTGGGGTCACACTGTCGGTGTTTGTTGTGTAAATAAACGAGACATAAATGGTTTATTTACACCTGTACCTGAGTAAAGTTTGGATTTCTCCTCCATCCAATTACCGCTACTGTGAGGTCATTAAGTAGTAATACAAACACTCCCAGTAGCCAGTGTCCAGTTTCCCACATCAAAACACCTTCAGCTTGACCAACCCAAACAGGAAATTTACGTCTGTGATATTTCCTACAATAATGAAACTGACAACGAAATAAGCATATGCTGGAACTACAAGTGACCACTATAGAAGAGACAAAATATTATTTTCTTAAATACCTATGTGGTTAAAGTAAGGATTTTTTTTTTATCTTAAAAGCAAAGTGTATCAGACTTTTACTTAAAATTTGATGTTTTTCTTTGGTTGAAATCACAGCTATGCTAAGGTTTGGATTCCATTTCACCATAGACTTGCCACTCTGGTTAAATATTAGTTTTAAAATTTAAAAAATGAAAGGTGTCAGGCCCTTAATAAAAAGATTAGGTATTCAAACTAGATCTTTCTAATAAGAAAAGGTGTTTCTTATTAATAATTATGCTTGAATAATAACTGAAACTGTTTTTTTTTTAAGTACAATCATCATACTACAAGTGAAAAATGTTTACTACTGTACTTTGTAATAATGATTAATAAAAGTATATTTGTTGTAGTAATTAATGGATTAAGTTTATTTCTTTATTTCTTCTAATAATCTTTTATTTATACATGAAAACTTGACAATCTTTGTGTAGAAAGATATCTCTCTTTATTTTGTTTTTCAGTCTTGAAACTTCATATATGCACACATTACTCAGAGAAAAAACCTTGCTGAAACTTTTTTTCTTGATTAATTTCTCATAATTTGGTAAAGTGTGTTTGTGGTTTCTATTGATTTGTAAGAAAGGCTTTGTGGGTGTGAGGAAAGGTGATACAAACATCAGCAGTAAAACCTAGTATAATGAAAGCTATTTCACGGCTTGCTCCCTGTGCACATAAAACCAAAATTATATCAAAGCCTGGCCAATACAGGTAGCACATGTTGGTGTAATAGTCAAGTTCTAACTTCACACCTGTAAATAGGTGTGTTTAGGTGTAACATTCCCCACCCATCTGTGGACTGGCACCCCCGGGGAGTGTAGGTACCACAACCTGTTAGTCTGGGCTAGTTATTTCACAGCTCACCCTAGTGTAGGAGCCATAAGGTTACACATGAGTGCCCTACCACTTTATGACAGTGTAGCTTTGATTGACTGGTCTATCTCACTTAATCATGATAACTGCCTGTGATTGGCTATGTGGTTTGTGGGTGGAGCCTCTCATTGATTTGTGCCTCACACATAGTAAAAGCTGTAGGTCTGTAGTTTACAGTGGAACGGAGAGCATGTGTACACTTTAAGTAGAAAACACATATATAATTAATTTCCCACTTTTTTTTGGAACTTGGGATTTATCAATTCATTCAAAAAGGTAACATGTTTTTCTCATCTCATTATTTATTTCACATCATATTTTAAGATTATTTATTGTCTGGTGTGTATTCTTTAGAAACTAATATGATATGTATACATATATATGTATCTATTTATGTTTTTGCTGTGGATTTAAACATCAGCCTTGTTTCTGTTGTAGGTTGGGGAGGCTGAGCGTGGGAATGTGAGAAGAAGAGACACTCAGGAACATGACATAAAATCAGAATATACGCCTTTGTAGATAGATTTCATATACACTGGATTTAATTTTCAAAATGGCAAAAGTTTTGTGTTCATTTCTCATAACTGTTTTATTTTCTGTGAGCTATACGGAGACATTGTCTCATACTTATACTGTAACTGAGGATTTAGTTAACCCACTTATACTTGGAATCATTGCTCAGGATGTGGATTTAAGTAGTCAACTTTCGGACTCGGATGATTATGCTAACCTCCGTTACAGTTTTCTCTCTCAGGATCATCCCCACACATTTCGGTTTTCTATAGATGAAATCACAAGTGCTATCTCGACTAATGACAGACTAGACAGAGATGTGATTTGTGAATTTACCCCGGAATCTTGTGAGTTGTCGTTGGAAGTAGCTGCCCAATCTACCATTGGCGTATTCTTCAAAAAGATACAAGTTACTGTGGTGATTAAGGATCAGAATGACCATGCTCCAAGTTTCGACCACGCCGGTATGTTTTACCTGTCTATATCTGAATCGTCTCAGATTGGTCGCGAGTTTACTTTAGATAGTGCCAAGGACAAGGACAGTAAGCGTTACTCTGTGACAAATTACAGTGTTGTACCCTCAACTTCCCCGTTCACCACTAAATTTACAATTGACCTCGTTGGCAGCACCGATGTGAAGCTCAAGGTCACACGAGAATTAGACCGTGAAACAAATGACCACTACCAACTTCAAGTCATAGCAGAAGATGGAGGCTCGCCACCAAAAACTGGAGTTCTCAATATTAATGTTACCATTGAGGATGAAAACGATAACCCTCCGACCTTTACCTTACAGTCGTATAATGTCAGTGTGAAAGAAGATATTGCAATAGGAACCGTCATCTTAGAGATGAAGGCTGTAGATCCAGACGTGGGAAAAAATGGTGAAGTTATCTACAAGATCAGCACCAATCAACGACCGGAAATCCAGGCTCTTTTCACCATGGACCTGACAAGTGGGAAACTTGCAGTTGCTCAAACTCTCATGCCTGCGGAGACATACAAATTAATCGTGGAGGCTTACGATAAGGGAGACCAGCCTTCAAAGGCACAAGTGTATGTGTTTATACATGTGGAAGACTCCGGCAATAACCCACCAGAAATTAAGATTAATTTGCTATATGGTGGGGATCAAAATGTCGCCAAAATTTCTGAGTACGCCAACATGGGGTCACCCGTTGCTCATGTTGCTGTGACTGATCCAGACACAGGCAGGAATGGGATTGTCACATGCTCAATCTCAAATTCCGAGGATTACTTTCAGCTTCAAAGGTTAGAGGTCAATGAATATAAGGTCATTGTCCACAAGCCTCTAGATCGGGAAAATAAAGCGCAACATGATATCTCGGTGTTTTGTGAAGATGTAGGTACTCCACCCTTAAACAACACAAAAACATTCTCTGCCGTTGTATTAGATGAAAACGACAAGTACCCACAATTCTCGAAACCTGTGTATACTGTAACCTTTCCAGAGAACCGCAACAATGGAGAGGTCATCATACAGGTCACAGCTAATGACCTTGATGAAGGTGACAATGCAAGATTGTCATATACTTTAGATGGTGATTCCAAAGGATATTTTAGTATTGACAATACTGGACGGATATTCTCAAACATAGCTTTCGACAGGGAAACAACCCCTTTGTTCAAGTTTCAAGTCATCGCTTCAGATCATGGCGATCCACCATTGTCATCAACGGCAACAATTGAGTTGAACATCAGTGATGAAAATGATAACTCACCAGAATTTACAGAAACTACATATACTACCCTCATCCAGGAGAATATGCAAATCGACACTTACGTGATGCAAGTGTATGCATCTGACCGCGATGCTGACTCAAATGGCTATGTGACATTCAGTCTGGCTCAAAACTCCAATGTGCCTTTTCTTGTGTTGCCTGATGGTTCAATCCACACCACACAATCCCTTGACCGTGAGGTGGTCAACAAATACGTTTTCAATGTCCTGGCAACTGATCATGGTATACCGGCCAGGGAAAGTTCGGTCCAGGTAACTGTGACTGTTGGTGACCGTAACGATAACACACCAGTCATCATTTACCCCAACATTTCTAACGACACGGTTCATATTCCTTACACATCACGTGAAAATACCATTATTGCTGTCATACAGGCTCATGACCTTGACCTTGGCCTGAACCAGAAATTACTGTTTTTGGTGAAGGAGAGAAATGATTCGGATCTCTTCAATGTGCTGAGTATCACTGGAGAAGTGATTGTAGCCAGACAAATGCAAGAGTCACACCGAGGCAGATACTTTCTTCAAATCGTTGTGATGGACCAAGGTACCCCATATTTGTCATCTGTTACCAAACTGACCATTGTGGTAACAGACAAAAATGTTACGGCAACCACAATGCCACCTTCAGATGGAGTCAACAAGTACAATGTGGCCATCGTGGTTACCGTTGTTGTGGTAACGCTTGTACTATCTGCTACTATTCTTGTGACCATTTTCATCATTCGACGCTTGGATCGAAAGAAATTTTCCGAAGGCTTAGTATTAGATGGAACTAAACCACAGGCAGAAAAAAATTTGGTAAAATCATCCAACCTTACTGGAAAAGCAACCCCAAATCTGTACAGTCCTCAAGGAGAACGAGTTGGAGTAGGGATGTATAGCTATGCGACAGAGCCTGCCCTTGACAGAATGAGTCTTTCCAGCAATAACACATTACAGGTATATTTCTTAGAAACAAAGATAATTCTTGTGGGTGCATCATTAAACAGTCTCAGAAGTTACCATATGTTTAAAAGAGAATGGAAATGAGAAAAATTACTAAATGTTGTTCTAATTATAAAACTAACTATAGCAGTTTATTACTTGAACGCTTACTCTAATTTCAACAAAAGAAGGAATACTAAGGTTTTTTTCATATTTTTGTATGCAAAATGCTTCATGCTGATATTAAATGGTAAACCTTATGAATGCTTCTGAGATTTGGGTAGCTAATGATTTTCACAGTGGAATACCTGATCAAGACCAAAACATTTCTTGAAAAATTTTATTAAATGGTAATATGTCAAATAAAGATATTCTGTGAAAAGAAAAATAATCCCATTCTATACTTTAGAGAGTATATGAATATATTACAGTCCCTGTCTTCTAGAAGTTCAAACTCTGAATTTTATCAGAAATAAATTCTCCCAGCGGGGATTACAAACAAGAAATATACATCTCGGATCACATTTCTGTAATGAAGCAATGCTGTGCAGTGTTACAATTATTCTATTCTCAGTTCCTAAGTCATGGCATGATAGGTATTCATTAGCTCCAAAACATTTTGTTATAGGTTACATGTAAATAATAGAGAACTGCGAGACATTCCATTTTATTGAAACATACACCAAGCTTATAGTGATTCACAATTCTGGCAAATTTATAACTTAAGCAGTTTTTTTTCTTCTTAAAAAATAAAATAAAAGAAAATATATTATTTCCATGCCAATGATGTTCTTAAACTTTTCAATACTTCCACATTTACAAGAATTTCTTCTGTTCAGCTGAATCGTATATTATGGCGTTTAAAAGACATCTAATATTTTTGAATGGACAAAATTAACTTAAAAAACAGTATATTATTGTAAAAATGGTTTATGAAATAAAACACGTGAAAGACTTCAACACCAAATGGGGTATTTCCAAGCATGCAGATTTTCCATATGCCAGTATACTATACTAGCATGTTTGATTTCTCCAATTACCTAACACTATACGAAATTGTAAACAAATACTAGCTACATCACCACAAAACTATTTCATTTAAAGTGTTCATTCGTTATAGCAAAAGGTTAAGAAAAAGTATAAAAGAATATTTGGTCGCTGACTGATATCATTAGCTGATGGATGGGGAAGAATTGTCTTTTCTACCTACCTATTAACTAACTCTGTCAACCTGTCGTGGGACAAGGAAATCGCTGGAGTGTGTAGACAGCACGCACAATAAACCTCCCAGGCCACATAGTTACAGACTATCCAAGGGAGCAAATTTATTTTCCTAAAACTTTATTTTTCGGTACAGTCATGACTTTTATCATATCTGACACAGGAAAAATATTTGGTTAAATCTAAATAGATTTTAAGTTAGATAAACAGCTCATATGAAAATTCTGTCTGAATGTTATTGAATCAGTTCTAAATTTGTTTTTGGGAGGGATAGGGTGGGGGGATGGAGAAAAAATTCTCACACTCCAGAGAAATGTTTGAATATGGAAACTCTGAGGGAGGTCTCTGCTTGGTGTGTAAACTCACAAACATGTGGAGGGGAGTGTTCTTTGAAGGGGCTCAGCTTTCTACTAAAGTGTCAAGTACCTGCTTTACAAATGCTACAAGACAAATGTCATCTGGGACATGCTTTATGAAATTTATGGAAATGTTTGATTTAGATATAAATCTGTGAAGTGTTTGTCCTTTTCAGGAAATTTTTCATTAGTTTTAAGCCAGGGGATTTAACAATATGGCCCTTCTGCGGGTTTTTGTCATTTCTCTTGACAGGGCAGTGAAACTGTAGAGTGATACAAATCTTTCCATTTTGTACAGATATTAGGAACAAAATTCTGGGAAAACACATAATATTGATAACAATATCTAAATGTAATATGTGTCCCTTCACCAGGACAAAAATAGGAAACAAAGGAGTATCTGGTAAATACCAAATTAAAATTTTAAACAAAAAGATCATATTTAGGGGTCATAATTAAAGTAAATAATTTTTATTTTTTAAACATGTAATATGGTTGGTTCAATTTGTATATATGAATCAATATTTGAAAAATTCAAAACAAAAATTTAAGTCTTGGTTAAAAAGAATTTATATTCATCAATGAATTTGGTTTTAAAAAAAACAGAAATCATAAACAAAATTTTGGAGTAGAAGATTTGTCTAGTAAATGATAAGAATGATATCTACATCAGTGGTTTGTTGAAGGCATGTTCAGGTGGTTAAGTTTTATGTCCACAGAACTAGCCAAAACGATAATGGATCAAAGGTTATACAGGGTTGTAATTTACTAATAAAGTGCTTTCTGGGATTTTGCTGCACAGATAGTCTGGTGCTGATAATATCTTGTGCTAAGTATTGTGCTATATAGATAGGTGCTACCCTGTATTGTGATAAACAGATACCTCTCCTTTCAATATTGCACCTCGATCATTCAAAGAATTTTTAGTAGAACTGTAAGAACACAAAACTTCTTTATCTTGTACAAATCAGCATTAGTGTATATACCTAAGGCTGATTCTGTACTATTGACTGATGTGCTACCAAAAGAACTGAAAAAGGACTAGCTATAAATCTGGCCCCTTAGGGCCGAGTCACACCCTTTGATGGGCGGCCATCACCCTTACCAAGCTGCAGGGGATGGGACAACACGCTTGCCACCTCAAGTGTGTTTTATGATGTCTGTAGACATATAATGGACAAACACATATCAGATTTATTCATACAGATTATCTTACCAAACTGGTAGTAAAACTTACTTAAATATGGGGCCCTTTTCATGGATTGCGTGACTTGAATATAACTGCATTGTCAAAAAGATCATATTGAAATTCATCTCTGAAAAATTTAATCCGCCCCTTGTAAAAGTGTAAGATTTAGTTTATTTTAATGGTCTTTTTTTAATATAAGAGAAGTCTTTATTTTGGGGTGGAGAGTGCAGGTTGCTGTATGATATGGCAGTATTTGATAAGACTTGCATGATGTTTTTTGTGTTTAAATCTAAGGTCCAGACAGGGTAGGATAACTACACTTGTGACACTGTTACCTCCTCAAGCTAAATTATTCAATAAGCACACACTTGGATTATAACCCCAGACTCTCAAATTTCAAATCAACTCATATCTCTCAAAACTGTTGAACAGATGTGGTCTTATCTTGACAACAATGTATAAAGCAACATATTAAATCTGATATATGCTAATGTATAGATTGGGATTAATATGTTGTTTCATATTTCATTATGGAGCTGACATCACTCCATTTTGTGAAATTTGAATCAATTTCTATTGCAAAAACATCAAATTTTTGTTGAGAGTTTAATTTATTGAAACTTCCTGTCAAATCTTATCAATATCTTTTTTGTATTTTGAATAATGATAGCAATATCTTTCCATCTATGTTAGATTTGCAAGAAAAATTATTCAGCTGTAAAAGTTGTTCATGCTTTGATAATTTGAAGACTTTAGGAAATTAAAGAATACACTATATTAACCATTATTGAGAAATCATGAATTAAGAGTCATGCATCAAATCGCTTTTAAACAGATTTTTTTTTTTTTTAAATAAATGTACATCAGATCTTGTTTATTGCATAGAGAGAAAATTACAACTTCTCTTTGATGGACAGACCTTAATCTGTTTTAAGTATGATAAATGGTTTGTCATTGTGACAGTGTAAAATAGTTGATGTTTTTCTCCATCAAAATAAGCTTCAGAAGTTCAGACTAAATATATCTTATCAAGTTAGTACGTTACAATGTGTACTCTATATGGAATATGTCTCAGAAAGCTACATCGGTATGTGGTCCCCAGAATGTCTCAAGTCCAATGTGGAATTTATCCTTAAGGGGCTTAGGACCTGGGTGTAAGATCCCAATCTTTTAACCTCCAACTGTGAAGAGTTCTATTTAAAGGGGGATTAAACCTGGGAACAATTGTGTTTGTTGAGTACAGTAGATTTAAATTGGGCTTTTTCATCAATTGGAAATTAGTGTCAGCATTTCAGTGTAAAACTCATGTGTTAAAAGAACTAGTAATACTAGTAAACACAAACCAGAATAAAGATAAAATTCTGTACAGGAAATAAAGGATATTTTTTACAACCAAACATCTCAGAATTAAGAATTAAAAGCTTAAAAAACTGTGAGCTCCAAACATAGATGGCAGGTTAAAATCGGAGTATCCACAAAAATATTGAGTACTTTTATCCATAAAATTTTGCTTTTTTGTTCATAAAATGAAAAAAAAAATAAAAAATCATCTTCAAAAATAATATATAACTTTGATATATGAAAGATATCTATTTTTTGATGTGGGAAAACTTTTCTTCCAAGAGGAGCCTGTCTCTTCCTATTTGGTGAAGATGGGCCTGTCCAAGGTAATGATAATAAAACCATCCAACCAAGGCAGCTTTATAGCATAGACATCTTGATGATGACAGAGGTCACACCTCATGTTATAACAGCTCCAAAACACATCTCTGCAGTGTTGTAGTCCTTAACCTTTTAAATATTGATATATTTATAAAATAAAAGTTGGGTTTTTTACATTGGGAATAGATACAGAATTGGAATATATGCTTAATATTGTCTAAAAATTCTGTGGTTGTATACTTCCTTATTCTAAAGTATTTCCTATAAACATCAGGTTAATGGTACTCTGTATGCTATATATATGACCAATCTAATTTAAGACATATGCTAGTGCTTTCATGTAAAATATTTTCTTATTTATAAATGTACACTACAGTTAGTGTATTCTGAATATTAACAATGCATTATGATTAAATCAAATTTCTTAAAGGGATGTAACCCTGATACAAAATCATGATAATGTTTAATGTAGCATACAACCTTAAAAATCTGTACCATTTTCACTTTTTTTTTTTTTTGAAAATAAGGAGTTTGGCAGGGGTAGATATTGTTGCTGATTTTGTGTACAGATACTGATGTACCAGGTGCTTGTGTTTGACAGGCAAACTAGGAAGTAACAATATGTGTTGTTTATAGGTACTGTTTTGTGACAGGTGTATCAGTGTCACTTACATATACTTCTACATATACTTACCTGCAGGTTTACCTGTGTGACACCTGACATATGCTTTGTAATAATTACAACAGGTGAAAAGATAGCATGTTTTGCATATAGGAAGTAAGAGATGCTGTAGGTATCTATGCATTTACCTGGCGTCTATTTCATGACGGGTTTATGTATCATTTGATGCATTACCACCAAAAAAAAACACATTATCATATCTGACTCGTTAGTTACCTGGATGTACTGGTCAAACATTTTTGTAACATCTGTCCATGGAATAACAAAATAGCATACCATTAAAATCTTTATTGATATTATTGTAAATGTATATTTAGATAATTTGTTTTGGTATTTTGTATAAAAAATTAAAACATGGCTGCATTTTATTAAGATAACCTCCACAAAGTTTGCATATTTGTAATTTTCATTTTTCTCAGATGAGTTTTCATTAGCTGTGGTGAATGAAAGTTTGAATATTCTGTTTTTAAATTAAATTTTTTTCAATGACATTTGGGAACTTTTGTGTGTTTTTGACAGGCATCACATGTTTCATACGACCACACAGACTCTGGCAGTAAGGAGGGCACACTACAGCGTTGTGAAACGCCTCAAAATGACGTCCACCAGTCCGACCTCCACCGCCTTGCTTCGATACGACTTCACCAGGCTCTTGTACAGTCACATGACAAAGCCTATGCCAATCAACATGTAGAGGTGTGTTTTGATTTTTAAATTATACAAAAAGTATCAATAACAACATAACGATGTTTACAATTTTATGTTGCGTATTTGATGGAATTTTTTGATACTGACGGGAATTTTCAAATCGATTTTATCTCTCCCTGTTCAAAACTTTTTATTTCGTGGTAACAAATGAAAGTGGAACTTGCATATTTTTTCAACAGATGATTTTGTTATCAAAATCTACTTTCCTTTCAACAACCTGTTATTGTCTTAAATAAGTTTCAGAAACATTTTTTTTCTTGTAAATTTGAAAAATCTCTGTAGATCTAACATTGTTATCTAATACAACATAGTTGATAGAAAGAATTTAAAACAGTTTTCCAAAATTTTTCCTTTTTTTTTTCTTTCACATTTTTAAGTAGGGAATGACTCATGGAGGGATTCCAAGGTTACAGGAGTCATTATATCATTAATCAGTTTTAACTGTTTATAGTCATAAGTAGGCTTAAAGATGAGGATTTTCCCAAACATGTGGGCAATGAAGTGACCAGTTTGTCCAGCTTGTGACCATGCAGTGTCCCTATTCTCTCACTAACAATGATCAGTAGGACTATCTCTTTTGTTCCATTTCACAGAATAGTGATGAAACGTTCCTCTCAGTGACACTATAGAAACACCTATTGTATAAATATCAGGCATTGGTTCTATGGGATTATGGGGTTTTCACTAATTCTGCTATAACATTTCTATGTTCGGTGTTAATCATACAACCCAAGGCTATTGTACTTCAAAATTGATTTCGAGTCTGGGTCCCAGAATGGCCCCTTTTAGCCGACATAACAGTAGATTTGGGATGCTGTGGTTGGCATTGTCTTGTTATGTCACAACAATTTTGGTGACAACCATGTTTTGGCAGGTGTTAAAATCAATCCAGTGATACTCGGCATACCTGTTAACGAGAAATGTGTAACTATATGTATCAGTGAAAAATCTCCAGGTAACAATACAAACTAAAGTGGTGGATTTACCATTCAGGGAAAACAATAGCACAGCGATAATGTCCAGGTTTATGTGTGGGACAGCAAGGGCCGAGCTCAAACAAAAAATTCTCACAAAGTTAGTGTTTACGATCCCTATCAACACTGTTAACATCGACAAAAGAAACAAACAACCAGGCAAGTTCTATGATCTGGAAAAATGAATCGCAGATTATTTGAATTATGTAGTACAGATCCTGGGATAACTTGTTGTGGTCAATGTTATCAGAAAATCAACGTTTAACATGAAACAAAGTCGTTGTTAGCTGTAGGGAGTGAGGATGTGTATATGACAGTAAACAATTCTCGTTAAGGTTTTTCTCCTGACTCGCACCTTTTTCACCTGTGACAGTGATTAATGCCATACATCCTATTCATCAGTTAGGAAATAAATTCTTCATCCATCTTAAAAATAGGTCAATCACCCAACTTCTCCGTGTCTTTGTAAAAGGGAACAATCTGACTTGATGTCCTCATATACAGTGAATTGAGATCGAAACAAAAATTAGTTTTAGTTAACGGGATCATCAAATGGTCGTTTTACCTATCAGTCAGAAAACCATGAGATCACTGGAGAAAGAATTGCTGCCATTACCTTTACTTTAATCCCAAATAGACAGGAAATGACATGACTTAGTCTAGATCATGGAATGCTCAGAATTTAAGTGAAGGGATTTTGTGGTTTGAAGGACTGTGAAATAGATTCGGACAGAAAGAACTGCGGAACACTAAAGATTTTAGGATTTGTCATAAAACACCTGATCTTCATAACATCTTCAAAATTCATACTTGGCATTTGATCACTGATAATTATGAATTAAATATCAGTATTTTGTAAAAGTTGTAATATTTGAATTATATAATTGAAAACTCTGCAGCTTCCACTTTCATGTTGAAAAAGATAGATTTCAGAATTTTTTTTATCCAGTTTTGAAACCAAATTTCTCTGTTCTTGACACAATGTACATTTAATTGTTTCTTCTGAATGAATTAAACCATTTAGGTAGAATTTTCACTTTTTCTAGATGAGCAAATTTCCATTGTTATATATTCAAACAAAGATGATATCAGAAAAAAAGATACAATATTTAATATGGTCAGGAGGTCATTATTTGGCTAAAATTACCTGGGATGGGCTTATTACAGGACTATGAAATAGCATTGCTAGTAGTTCTATTGGATAGATATGGGTGGGCTTATTAACAGGCATGGACTTATTACTGGACAGATACAGTAACAGACATGTGAACTATTGTAGAAGTTGTTTAATTCCTAAGTTTACAATGCTGACCATGTGTTTTGCTTTTGTTTCAGCTCCCTTATAACAGAGAGACAAAGAAATCTACAGACGATAACAGTGACACATCGGGGGACACCATACCCAGTGACAGTGGACGGGGTGCTAGTGACCAGGAGGAGGTACAGAGCATCACACAGTCACATACCTCAGGTGAGTTTTGTCACACACCTCTGGTAAAATGTGGAAACCTCCATTTTATCATGTTTGATTTAGTATGAAAGAAATCTTTTTTCTGTTCTTTGGTTAAAAACGGTGACCTTTAACTCCGTTGGTCATGGGGTGGGCTTATTACAGGTCATGGGAATACTATTTGCAGTGTTACTGAACAGCGATAGATATGGAAGGGCTTATGTGGGAAAATATTTGCAAGGGAAAGTGGAATGACAATACCTACAGACCGGTAGATTAAGAATGAATATCTACATCACCGAACGGAACCTGGTCTTAATGTATAATGTTACCTTTGAGATTTTGTGAATGACAAAATATGAAATCCAACAACATCATATCTTTATTCAAATGTGTGTTATGCAAGACTTTATAATTCTTACTTTCATTATTTCAGAACATTTAAGACGTCAGCCTCCACCAATTAGTCGGAATTTCAGAAACACAGAAAAATTCCAAAGAAATATTCCTCAGACAAATCATTACATGGACATGTCTGGAAGGAAAGTCAATAATGGAATTAACTCCGGAATTATTCCACAACGATTCCACGAGGAACTCAAACATCAGCTTCAGCCATGTTATTCCTTCCCTCGTCAACAAAAACTTTCCTACAGTAGTGTAGGCTCAGATGTTCCAACATACGGACACTTTCAACGAGGGTTGAGCGTGGATGAAACTGTTGACAGTATTGCGACGGGTTATGACGATGATGATACAACGACATCAGGGAGTTATACAATTGACAATGATGATTTTCCGATGGAACTCCATTTTGAAAAAGTGCATGATGTGTTTGTGTGATAATTATTTCTGTATTGCGATGATTCGAAATGTGTTCTGTTTGGAATAGGTTACTCTAGTCATGTGCCAAATTTGAAATAATTTTACTTTGTATGTGTTGATACACAATGCTGATACAGTTGTGGCCATTGTGAGTTGGAACAGTTAATTCTATAAAAAATGAACTTTAACAACTTTTCAAATTTATGCAACTCCATTGTTGATACAGGGTTTGTGAAAAGAAAATTGAACAAAACAATACTGAGATTCAAGATACTAAAAGGGATTTTCAACTACATGTTTCCTGGCTAAATATATGCTCGATTGTGATATCCATGTCTCCATGTGATACAGAAAGGCATTTTTATATTTATATATCCCAGGATTCTATTGGTTCATAAAAAATTTGAATATTCCTGAAATATTCATGAATATCCTACTAAATGTTTATCATCTTATATTCTTATCAATCTCATCGCTGAAATATTTGTTATTTATCTGTAAATTTTTATTCACAGTCAGCAATTGAATATGAATTTTGCAATTGATCCAATCACAATTCTGGTTTAGCATATAAACAAATATATTTTCTATAGTCATGAAATTATTATTGTAAGGTATGAGTTGAAATAATCAGCTCGAGGTGGCCTAAATCTCATTTCTCTGCAAGTTCGGCATGTTGTCGTATCATATATAATTGTCATTAAAAGCCAGACAATGTTTCATTTTGATACATTTGAAATAGTCGCTTTCATGAAAAGGAAAAAAATGGGGTTACTTAAAATGTATCAATTGATAAGCCATGTATAATCATTGAGAATTAAAATATCGGAACTTGAGTGTCTTAATTAAAATGTGTAGAAAATTGGAATAATTACTGAGGGAAAGGTTTGGTAAAGTAATGTAATTGACATTAAATACAGAAAGTGGTAAAGTTTAGGGATTTTTTGTCTGTTTTTGTAAAAATAATTGACAAAGATTTCCTCTCTTTTTTTCAGTATTTTTTCTTGATTTATTTGAGAATATCTTGCACCAAAGATAGATAAAGTAGCAAATCATTTGTTTCAATAGCCGAGTGCAGCATATCAAAGTTTTCAGTATCTTATAATTTCCTTTAGTAAATTTTGAGAAGGTATGCATGTATCAGTGCAAATCATTCAGTATATTTGTGATTAATCAAAACATTAAATATTTTAAGTTTATATTTATACAGGAAATTTCACTTTTAAATGGAAAGTCAGTTATTCAGTAAATTCAATATCTATAACTCATATTGAAACAGGAATTGATTTAATACATATTGTCCTATTTCTGAAGTAGAGAGAATTAATAAAATATTGTTCTGCAATTATCTATTATTAAACATTATCCATTAATATTTCTCTGCTGGAAAAGTTCATTGAAATATAGGCATGTTTCATACTAGAAAAATATATATATAATGCAGAGTTCTTTTTGGGAAAATTTTAAGGAAATGAAAATTTAAGTATTATATTTTTCCAGTCTAATTTCTTTTTAATAATTCTGTCCTATTTAGCTAGTTGGTTGGTAAGTGTTATGTGTGTGGTGTAATAAGGTAAATATACACATCTACCTGACCATAGATTAAAAAGTCTGGAATTGTTCCAGCTGCAGAATACGAGATATCAAACACCCTCCACATCTCCGTCATTGATTGATGACATGTTAATTTTTGTACTGAAACGAAATGCTTTTCTCTGCCTATAAAATATTGATTTTGTCCGTGGCATCACATCATGCGTCAGCCTCCGTATCACTACAGAAATACCTTATTAAGAAATGTAGATTGTTCAGGTACATTCTGTACAGGTAAACCATTGTTCTGGTATGTTCGATACAGGTGGGCGGTCCAAGACCCATCATATATGTCACTGTTAACGTCCCTCTGATTTTCCCCGGGAGAAATAAGGGCAGCTTTAGCACGTAATGAGACGATTCCTAATTCCGTTTATGGGACCATGTGTATCCATGTTAAACCTGTTATATGTTCTACTGTTGATCGTTGCCTTGTTACATAAAACTTTATTTCCAACATGAAATAAATACTGAATAATCAATATGGCTGCTTTTGTTATCTGTTGACTAATGCCAGTCAGTATCCAAGGATAGCAATACCTCAGACACATCACATGACAGGCAGGTTCATATGGGAAGTTCCGTACTGATGTTGATGGAACCTGCCAAAGCTTAACAAGAAATTTATTCAAATTTTCAAGAAAATTCTTCCTTTTCATTACAAGAATTTGCTCATATCCCATGTTCACCTTAATCAAATTTGTGTAATTTACATTATACAAAATCTTGTCCAAAAATTTCAAAAGTTTACAAATTATCATGATTTTTGAATGAATTTTTCGTTAAGCTTACAAGGGTTTATAAACATGGTCATTGGTCAGTATTAATTTGATACATTGTCCAGCTGCTGAAGTGGGATTAATGGTCAGTTTTACCTGTCCAGCTCTATGTTATTACACTGGGCATTGTCCGGAATAAATGGTCAGTCCAGCTGATCACACATGCTATAGGATAATCTATGTCCATTTACTAATCACAAATCATTTTCAATGAAAATTGACACATTGCAGAGTCACATGTTACCAGACGATACTGTTTCAGACGTTTTCTGAATACTGACAATTTCATCTGTTGGATGTATGGTTTCTAGATCATTTTTTTTTCTTAAAAATCTTTCTTTCATGGCAATGCTATTCATCATTATTAAATCTGACATTCATTGAATTGTTTCTTCCATGATTTCACATTTTCAAATAATTTCTGCAATATCTTTTTGTAGTAATAGTCAGTATATCTGCCGATTAATGATATTATTTGCTGTTTATATTTGTGGTTCAGCTGTCGCCATGCAAACCATGAATACAGATATTGTTTCACAAAACCTTTGCGATATTTCATTTTTTAAACAAAATATTTAAGAGGAAGTGTTGAAATCAAATTGATGCTTTACAATAATACATGATACATAGCATGGAGTATTGATCAGAACCAGAAACTCTAACAAAATGTCAGAAATATTAGGAATATTGTTTGAACCCCTATAAAGTGAAATGTTCACAAAGAATAAGGGGCACCATCATTATGTCTAAAGGTCTTGTCATCAATTTGAAAGTTAAAGCTCAGACTTAGAATGTATGCCTCACTTGAGCAGTTATCAAGAAAATTAAGATGTTCACAAATATTCTAGAATTGAAGTACAGTGTGAAAACCCAGCTCTGAAGGGCTATGATAATTTGTAAAATGTTTATAAACTCAACATTTATCTATTTAACAACAATTAGCCAAATAAAAATAAATTGAGACAAGTAACTTATATAAAACACTCATTGTTCTCCCAGGTGGAAATATTCCTGTGGTTTTACTGTGAGGAAAAACCAGAGCACCCTGGGGGAAAACCCACATGGTCTGGCAGGGGACCTGTACGTTTTCACATCCTTGATCTGGGGGTCAAACCCGGGTTGCCAAGGTCAAAGGTGAGTGTATAATCAATTTGCACCACATCACATCCTCCTATGTTAGTGAAAGGCTTGTGTTTTAATTCTGTGCCACAGACCATTTTTGTTGAATACATATTATCTGGGAGGTTGTTAAAAAAAGACTTCTACACAAATATAATGTATGTAAAATAATTCAAAAAAGATTAAAGACACAAAACAAAAAAGTGAAATAATTTAATAACTTTTTTATTTATTCATTTATTTTCAATTTTTTTTTCATTTACTTCCCAATCATATTTAGACAGTTATGGTCTTTGTTTCATGTTTTCCTTTTGATCAGATTTTACACAAAGCAACTTTTCCTTATGTACTTCAACACAACTTGATGAAAGCTTGTTGCTTAATGCATTGCTAGTATGAAGATCCTTAATCCCTGAGGAAAACGGTCTAGTAAAATGAAACACACGGAATGATACACTGGACTTAATTAGCACTCTCCATTGGGTTTTGTGATCAGAAATCAGAATCTACAGTAATTTATAAAACGGCAGCTCCAATATTTTAACTCTTCAAAAAAAACTACAGTGTAGGAATATCTCAACTATTTTCCCAAGGAGTAATCAGATTTGTGGTTCCAGGCTGTGAAAATTAATACCAGAATATATTTAAATCCAATTGTTTTATCTTGCCTTTGGGATGACTGAAGAAATTGACACCGGGGATGTAAATTTCTGAATCTGGAATATATTACATCGCGAATTTCACTCAAGGCTCTTTCCCCAGATCTCAACTGATAATTTATATAAACCACTCCTTGGTCAAAGATCACTTTTAAACTGCATCACCAGAATTACTCATTTGCCTTGAAGGAAAATTAACCCTAATTTTCAATTTGTTGTTTCAGTTTAGTAAGCCTAACAGTGCATCTGCACGTGATATAGTTGATGTAAACAGTTGCACAGGGGTTCGTTTGATAAATAAATTAAGTTATGGTAACACAAGAATTTGTATACATGTAATGATTCAAAACACAGGGGCTTGCATACCAAATCATCACAAGGATTTGGTGTACTAGAAGCAAACATATAATATTCTAGAGGTTGTACTACATCAAATATTTGAGAACTTACAACCAAGACTGGCGGAAATGATAAAAAATGCATTATTTTTTTTGGAGGTGAAATTTGGTGGAGACAATCTACGTTTAGGGTCATCATCATGATCTTAATGGAAACTAGTCTGTTTTCTCCTGTGATGAAGTTTGTAGTAATTGTTGTTTGTAGCACGCCCACAGGAACCAGTCCATACTAAAACACTGAATACGGCAAATGCTACAACACGTAAAATTGTTGTAAGACAATCCGGGTTATTCAAGGGAAAAAAAGCAGTCTGTTATCGTTTTACACAATCAATATTCATATCATAAATACTCTGCTAGCAGTGTAATAGCATTCACAATATACACATCTGTTACTACACACTTGTAATATATCCTATCGGATAGGTGATTAGCTGAAGGTTCCCGTTGTTTCCACTGTGACGTCATAACTTCATGACATAATTAGTGACGTCAAAAAAGAAAGAAATTCTGAATGAGAATGTCGCTGAATAGATTTCACATCAGTCTAACAATATGCTGTTTTCATGAATGTTTGCAAAAGTATATTAGTTCTCTGATGAACATGCCGTATGGGGTCATTGAAACTCTTTTACCTTGTCAGAAGCTCGATGAAAAATTCTGAGCCTCGTTTCATAAATCTCAAATGAATGGAAACTGTGGTAAAATATACTGTATAACGTTAAACATTTTGAATGAATGGTTCCTCTA